AAGACAATTAACCCTATAAATAATGCAAAAAAAACATTTTTTTAATTATGTCTGGATCACTGATATGGTCGGAGCCACAACTTTTGATTCTGTTTTGATTGGCCTCTATATATATACAGTTCCTATACAGACCAAGAACACACATAACAAAAAAAAACATAGTTCAAGTTACCAAAAGAAGAAACAAACAAAAAAATTCCAAAATGGAAATGCTCATTGCATTTCTCATACTATTTCTACTCTTAGGGTTTATACTAATCCAAATCCTAAAACTCAAAACCACTTCTTCTTCTAATCTGCCTTCGTATCCACTCATCGGATCTACTCTCTCCTTCAATAAAAACCGTCACCGTCTTCTTCAATGGTATACCGATCTCCTCCGTAAGTCTCCGTCACAAACCATCACCGTCGATCATCTCCTCCGTCGCCGGACTATTATCACGGCAAACCCCGAAAACGTTGAGCACATTCTCAAAACAAATTTTTACAACTTCCCTAAAGGTAAACCTTTCACCGACCTCCTCGGAGATCTACTCGGCGGCGGAATTTTTAACTCTGACGGCGAGTTATGGAGCTCGCAGCGTAAACTCGCGAGCCACGAGTTTACAATGCGCTCCCTTAGGGAATTCACTTTCGAAATCCTCCGCGAAGAAGTCAAAAACCGGCTAGTTCCGGTTCTTTCCTCCGCGGCGGACGGTGGTCGGACGGTGGATTTTCAAGAGGTTTTAAAGCGTTTTGCTTTCGATGTTGTTTGTAAAGTCTCCTTGGGTTGGGATCCGGATTGTTTGGATTTGACCCGACCCGTTCCGGATCTGGTTAATGCTTTTGATGTAGCAGCGGCGATTAGCGCTCGCCGTGCGACGGAGCCTGTTCAGGCTGTGTGGAAGCTGAAGCGTTTGTTGAACGTAGGGAGCGAGAGGAAGCTTAGAGAAGCGATCAGGACCGTACACGAGTCTGTCTCTGAGATCATCCGTGCCAAGAAGAAGATCCTCGAAATCGGTGGTGACGTGTCGGACAAGAAAGACCTCTTGTCCAGGTTTCTCGCCGCCGGTCACGACGAGGAAGCCGTGAGGGATAGTGTAATCAGCTTTATTATGGCGGGAAGGGATACCACCTCGGCGGCGATGACGTGGCTTTTCTGGTTGTTGAGTGAGAACAATGACGTGGAGGAGAAGATACTAGAAGAAGTGAGAAACAAAAGATCTTTAGGGTTAGGGTTTGAGGATTTGAGAGAGATGAGTTACACGAAAGCATGTCTCTGTGAAGCAATGAGGCTTTACCCACCAGTGGCTTGGGACTCAAAGCATGCAGCAAACAACGACGTTTTACCAGACGGGACACGTGTCAGAAGAGGAGACAAAGTGACTTATTTCCCTTACGGTATGGGAAGGATGGAGAAAGTTTGGGGTCAAGATTGGGACGAGTTTAAACCGGACCGATGGTTCGAGGAAGAACCGAATTACGGTACCAAACCGGTTTTGAAAAGCGTGAGCTCTTTCAAATTTCCGGTTTTCCAAGCCGGACCAAGGGTTTGTATAGGGAGAGAAATGGCGTTTTTGCAGATGAAATACGTGGTGGGTTCGGTTTTGAGTCGGTTTGAGATTATACCGGTTTGCAATAACCGACCGGTTTTTATTCCTCTTTTAACCGCTCACATGGCTGGTGGACTAAAGGTGAAGATCAAGAGGAGATAGCATTTGTGATCCTATT